GCTGGTAATTATACAGTGGATTATGGCGACAGTTCTGTCGATAAACCAGGAAACATTCACAAGAGCAGCCACACAGAGCAGAATGCTCTCGGCTGCACACCACATGTACAGTTGCATGTTGGGAAAAAGGTCCAGCAGATACATTGCATTACCCCCCTTTGAGTCTGGTTTAAAGACCTTTCTATGAGTGCTCCAAGCTCCTGACCCAGGATCCTTTTTCCCCTTTGGGATAGGTGTATCCCATCTTTTGCCAGCAGCCCTGGTGTCTTGTAAAGCAGCCTGTGGTCATAGAACCCAAAGTCCTGCCGATGACACCTGTCATGTAGCCATGCATCTGTTGGCTCCTCCTGTTTATCCCCTCATCAGTCCTTACAACAGGAGGGATAGAGGCAAACACTACTTGTGCTCCCAACCCCCTAACCAGTCGTCCCAGGGCCCTGAAGTCTCTCTTCATTGCCCTTGGACTTCTTGTAGCAATCTCATCACTGCCTACCTGAAAAATCACTAATGAGTAGTAGTCTTAGGGTTGAACTAGGGTAGGGAGTTTCTTCTGTACATCCTTGACCCTGGCCTCAGGGAGGCAGCAAACCTTCCTATGTAGCGGGCCTGGTCTACATATCAGGCCTTTTGCTCCCTTCAGAATCGAGTCCCCTGTGACAAGAACCAGTCTTTCTTTCTTTACTGCAGATGTTTTGATGAATCGGGTGGTCCGACTAGACCTTGATGACACCTCCAAGCTAGAAGAATTTTTATTCTCACCTTTTACACTCACAAGGCACTGTATCTGTTTCTCTGTGGCACCTGGGAAGATGGTGTAGTTGTTGGGCAGACACATTTGTGGTGCCTTTTGCCATTTCCCCCTGTCTTCCAAGGCATCACATTGAGTTGGACAGAGAGAGGACAGGGAGTTTGCTGTAGCAGGGGCTCTCTCTGCCTTCTGGGTTTCTATCATGGGAGGCAGGGTGCGACTCTTCCCTCTTGCATTCCCTAATGGCCCTCAGCCTGCCTACCTCCTCTCCGAGCTCCAGCACTAGGCGGAGAAAATCTTCCACCTGGACACACCTCCCACAGGCATGCTCACTTCACAATGGTGTGTGAGTTGGGCACACCCTGCAGCCTGACAGCTGGGTGGTGGCATTTTCCCAGGAAAGCTCAGTCTGGGAAGTAGCGTCAGCTCTGGAGTGTGCAGAGTTGAGAGATGCCATTGTCAGCTGAGAGATGTCAAATCAGTTTGAAAACAGATTAGGTGATCTAGCTGCTTGGAAACCACATAGACTATGCAGACAAACCAGTTGACAATGAGTTCACAATGATATGAACTTTACAGCTCAGTAAAATAATGTGGTTTTTTAATAATATATAAGCACCAACAGTGTGTTGAGTTAGATTAAATCAATAGTAATAATATCCTTTCTTTCATACCCTATTGTTTATTGCAGTTCCTTTTTTAAAAAGAGGAATTATGTATATATGAAATGCTGTTATGGACTATTTGTTCAGGTTCCCGGGATGGTTCAATGGGTCTCTGGGAAGTCACAGAGGATGTGTTGTCCAAAAGCAATGCTCGACATAATATCTCTCAAGTTCCTGTCTATGCCCACATAACACACAGGGCTTTGAAGGATATCCCCAAGGAGAACACCAATCCTGACAACTGCAAGGTCCGAGCGTTGGCTTTCAACAGTAAGAACAAGGTCAGTAAGATAAGCAAGACAGTTGAGAAGTCCTATGTTTATGTGTATTAGACAACAAAAAAAAAGCAATCTAAATCAAATATACTGGAGAAGCAACCTAATTTTTCCCCCCTGATTGTTTTGCATCTTTCTCATATGAGATGATCATCTTTGTCTGCTATGTCTGCTTTTGCCCCAAGTGCTTGGAGAAGTCCAGTAGAAAAAAAAAATTAAAAAAATGTTTTCAGAAGGAACAGCTTTCCTGTGGGTTTGATTTTAGACTTGCATCCTAAAGGGAGCAGATGGGGAATGTTTACAAGAAGCATATAAAGCACCAAAACACCTCTTGCAGCTTGAATCCTACTCTTGAGTGCTCTTGCTACTTTCCTTCACCTTTCCTGAAGACCAGCTAACTTTCAATCAGTTGCTGTTTTGATGGCTAAATTGGTACTGGATTGCTCAGCAAGTGAGGTGACTGACACAGGGCAGGCACCAATGCTTGCTTTGGAGTTGTTTTTTTGGCATTTGACAAACAGTAAATGTTAACCTCCCCCATGCTGATCTCTTGTTATTACTAGAGACTAATTGTACTGGGACGAGTGATAGTAGCAGTTCATCCCCCACTATTTTCTTTCTGCCCTCAAAGAATAGAGAAGGTCTGAAGCAAAGGTGTGTGTGCTATGAGAAGCATCGTGCTCCTGCAGGCTTTATTTTTCACTATAGCTGTTAACTATTCCTCTGTGATGGAGACTTCATGTAGCTTTTCCAGTAGAGCAGTGCCTGGAAAGAAATATTTACTTCAGGGTCAGAATCAGTGTGGGAGCTGCTGTAGAGGATTGCCAACTCCAGCTTGCGCTGTCTAATAATTCATTATTTGATTGTCTAACAAGATTCATGCTTTTGAAAGATATTTTTTGTTATTTACTGTTTTTTTTAATTCTTGTTCTATCTGGCACTTTTGTGCTGTAGTGTGTTCTATCAAGATCAATATAAAAAGAAAATGTATCTTGATAAGCATGTACAGAATTATGGATGAGTTCAATCTGGAGTACGCAGCCTGCCTAGTAGAGTGTGAGTTTGTAAGGACATCTATAATACAGAAACTAACTCTTACTTTTTTTTTTAATAGGAACTGGGAGCCGTGTCCCTAGATGGGTATTTTCATCTTTGGAAAACAGAGCACACACTATCAAAGGTTCTTTTCTGTTTGTTGATGTAACGTTTCAAAAATTGCCTAGCAGTTAAGGCTGTTCATCATTCTTCATCTCCTTTAAATGCCTGAAGAAAGAGCAGCAGTGCTTGTAAAACACTTTAAAGCTTTACGTAAAATGAAATGTCCAAAAAATTAGAACTTGGGGAGAGAAACTCCTCACTCCCCTTATTTTGGAGGGTGGGAGATACTCTTAACTTTCTGTCAGTGCTGGGTGAGCTGAAGTGAACCATTCCATAGAGTATAAGGGATACTTGATTAGCAGTGTTCATAAAGGAAGTTGCACTTATTTAAGTGGAATTGCAGATCAAACCCAGAAATATCTATGCTAGTGTATGAGGTTAGCTTTTTCAGCTGAGAGATCATGTCTGTATGCACCTGCTGAATGAATAAAAGCAGCTTAGAAAGATGTAAAACAATTTACCAAAGTGTCCATTGTTCTTTGCATAATATTTGGCTTCAGCCTTTATAATCTCTGGTTCAGATAAGCATCCAATCTCCTTCAGATTATTTTTTTTTTCTCTGGGTCAGGTTGTTGCTTTTCTCTTAAAGTTCTATTGTGTTGAACTTACTTTTTAGCTGCATGTTGTTTTTTTTCACTGCAACTTCCTTGAACATAGCTTATAGAATTTTTCTGTTAACATTTTGCTTTTTTCTCATAATGTGTTGATTTGTCCTTCCTCTGTTTCCAGTTACTTTCCACAAAGTTGCCTTACTGCAGGGAGAATGTGTGTTTGGCTTATGGTCAGGAGTGGTCTGTGTATGCAGTAGGATCACAGGCACATGTCTCCTTTCTGGATCCCAGACAGCCTTCTCACAATGTTAAATCCGTCTGTTCCAAAGAACGAGGCAGTGGTAAGAAATTTGTCAAAGGGTGCTTCAAGTGGTGTGTTTGCAGAAGTAGCTATTAAGACTGCAGTAAGATAAGCTTTTAATAAATAGGAAGGGTTTTTCATGTGATAGACTAAATAATTAACAGTATATATAGGTTTTGCTTTTATGACAGTATTCCTTGGGCAACCAATAAACAAAACTTAACAGCAACTCTGAAATCTAATTATAGACATCATTAGTGATTTTATGATAAACTAAATTCTACACTATCCAAATATTACTGAGCTTTTAAAACTGGCTCTTTATTTATTTTTTACTGTGTCTTATTCTGTTTTACTTCATCTCAAAGCAAATCCAGTCTTCGTACCACTGTAAATACTATCTTGTCTGCTCTGTGCTATCATATTGGGAGTCTGAGCTGTGAGTGATTCTTGCTTTGTAATTTTAAAGCCCTGTTTAAAGCTGTTTTCCTTTTCTGATGTGGATTCAGTATGTCAAATTGAACCTTACAAAAGAGCCAAGTGTGAGGGCTTGCAGGGTGCATGGTCCCAGAAGCTTTTCTTCCCATATTCTTTATTTTCAACCATAGAATCATAGAACTATTCAGGTTGGAAAAGGCCCTTGGGATCACCGAGTCCAACCATCATCCCTACTCTACAAAGTTCTCCCCTAAACCATCTCCACCAACACCACATCCAAACGGCCCTTAAACACATCCAGAGATGGTGACTCAACCACCTCCCAGGGCAGCCTATTCCAGTGTCTAACCACTCTATCTGTGAAAAAAAATATTTCCTAATGTCCAGCCTAAACCTGCCCTGTTGCAGCTTGAAGCCCTTCCCTCTTGTTCTGTCGCTAATGACCTGTGAGAAGGGACCAACCTCTCTACAATGACCTTTCAGGTAGTTGTAGAGACTGATGAGGTCTCCCCTCAGCCTCCTCTTCCTCAAACTAACCATTCCCGGCTCCTTCAAGCGTTCTTCATAAGATTTATTCTCTAGGCCCTTCACCAGCTTCGTTGCCCTCCTCCGTACTCGCTCCAGCACCTCGAGATCTCTCTTGAATTGAGGTGCCCAAAACTGGACCCAATACTCCAGGTGTGGCCTCACCAGTGCTGAGGACAGGGGGACAATCAGCTCTCTACTTCTGCTGGTCAAACTATTTCTAATACAAGCCAGGATGCCACTGGCTTTCTTGGCCACCTGGGCGCCCGACCCGTCCCCAGCCACACTCCCCCAAGCCTGGAGCGTTGCCTGGGGTTGTTGTGGCCCAAGTGCAGGACCCGGCACTGGGCCTTGTTGAAGCCCAGACCATTAACATCAGCCCAACGATCCAATCTATCCAAGTCTCTCTGTAGAGCCTCCCTATCTTCATGCAGATCAACACTCCCTCCTAACTTGGTGTCATCTGCTAACTTACTGATCATACACTCTATGTCCTTATCGAGATCATCAATAAGATGTTAAACAGAAAGGTCCCAACACTGAGCCCTGAGGAACACCACTTGTGACTGGCCCCAGCTGGATTTGACTCCATTGACCACCACTCTTTGGGCCTGACCATCCAAGCCAGTGCTTGACCCAACAGATCGTATGTTCATCCAGGCCATGAGCAGCCAGTATTTTTATGAGAGTTCTATGGGGAATCGTGTCAAATGCTTTTTGGAGGTCCAGACAGATAATATCCACAGCCTTTCCCTCGTCAAATAGTCGGGTCTTCAGGTTATAAAAGGAGATCAGGTTTGTCAGGCAGGACCTGCCTTTCATAAACCCATGCTGACTGGGCCTGATCCCCTGGTTATTCTCTAGATGTCTTCTAATAACACTCAAGATGATCTGCTCCATGACCTTCCCTGGTACCAAGGTCAGACTGACAGGTCTATAGTTTCCCGGATCCTCCTTTCTGCCTTTCTTATAGATGGGTGTTACATTTTCTGCCCTCCAGTCCATTGGGACCTCCCCAGTTAGCCAGGATTTCAGGTAAATAATGGAAAGTGGCCTGGCGACCATGTCTGCCAACTCTTTCAGCACCCTTGGATGTAGCCCATCCAGTCCCATAGACTTGTGTGCGTCTAAGTGGCGTAGTAGGTTTCTGACCATTTCCTCTTTAATTGTGATGACCTCATTCTGCATCTCCTCCCTGTCTCCCAGCTCATGTGGCTCTATATCCATGGAACAGCTAGTTCCCCTGCTAAAGACTGAGGCAAAGTAGGTGTTGAGCACCTCAGCCTTTTCCTCATCCTTTGTTACTAAGATTCCCTTTGCATCCAATAAAGGATGGAGATTTTCCCTAATCCTCCTTTTGTTGTTAATGAACTTATAGAAACATTTTTTATTATCCCTAACAGCTGTAGCTAGTTTGAGCTCTAGCTGTGCTTTGGCTCTCCTAATTTTCACCCTGCATAGG